CTCAACCCACCGGATAATATTGTTAACCTCTCCAGCTACAAACTCAATCCAGCAGAAGAGTCTGTCTTATCCAGGGGTCTCTCTTTCTGCCCCACGTCCCCCACAAACTGGATACAATTTTGTGGTGACCTTGAAGCTTTTTTTCGCCACCTACGCCTCCGAGAATATTTCCAAACCACCAATGAACACCAATCTGACCTACCAGATCCCCCCTATCAACTCTATATGGACTCCCCCTGACGGTCGGAATTACAATCTGGATTTCTATATACAAAGTTTCCGCAACAACGCACAGACTGACATTATTCGCAAACAACAACAAGCGACACACAATCTCAGCGACGCTGTACAACATTCCGTCCAGAGTCTCAAAAACAACCTGGACATTATAATCAAACCAGCTGACAAAGGTGGCGCTGTGGTCATTATGAATAAGCCCAACTATAAGCAGTAGGCAACCAGACAACTCTCCAACACCACATTTTACAAACCTCTCTTCTCTGATCCCACTTCAGAATACCAAAAGAAACTACACTGTCTCCTTAAAGAAGCAGATAGAACAATCCTGGTCTGGGTTCAGAAGGTGTTTCGGTGTGGATTTGGTCCCAAGTAGATGTAGGGAATTCTTTAAGGAGACAGCGTAGTTTCTTTTAGTTAACCAATTCAATTATAAGATCAAGAACACATATTCCTGCTCATCCAGAAATATAATTTATGCTATCATGTGCCGACAGTGTCCATCTGCTATGTACATTAGACAGGCGTCTCAGACACTTCGCCAAAGGATCAATGCCCACAAAACAGATATCAGACAGTATCACAAAGAAAAAACAGTTTCTTGCCATTTCAACTAGAAAGGGCATTGTCTCAACGACTTGATTACCTGCATCCTGCTTCAAAGACATCGAACACCAGACTTGAAAGAGAAACCTCTGAACTGTCATTCATGCTTAAATTTGACACTACGCCTGGGTCTCAATAAAGATGCTAATTACCTTATCCATTACAAAGATAGTTTCCCAAATTTTCACCTCTAATATCATTAGCTCACAGACATTAACCTCCCCCCCTCCTCTGTCATCACCCCTCTGTTCTGAAATTTAATTTGTCCTTTTTATATGTGTTCACTTTTTTTGATTGTATCCCTTTGGTATATATGGTCATGCCAATTTTCTTCCACAATTTGATCTGAGGAAGTGGGTCTGGCCCAGAAAAGCTCATCACCTAATAAACCATCTTGTTAGTCTTTAAAGTGCTACATAGTCCTGTTTTTTGTTTCAGCTAGAGTAGACTAACATGGCTACATCTCTATTATTTTAATACTCCTGTCATCTGAAGAAGTGGGTTGTACCCACGAAAGCTCATGACACATCTACATGTTTTATTAGTCTTTATGGTGTTGCTAGATTATTTATTGTTTTTTAAGTTTTTCCAGTGACAGACTAATTCAGCTACCCCTCTGAAGTTTCAGGCTATTATGGTTATTGAACTCACATATATCCTTTAATGATTAACTTCAAGAGGATTGAACTGATGGTTTTCTGAAACACCACACAGTAAAAATTGACTGTAACAATAGCGTAATAGAGAAGAATAGTGTAGTAGAGAAATACTCTGCACTGTTGCCTTCAGACACCAATCTATTCTGCACTTCACCATGTTCCAATTATTCTGTGATAGGGTTAGAAACAGTATTTGGCAATACCAAATTAAATAGCTATATGGCAAACCAGTTAGTTGATGCACAAATGCAGGTTTTTAAATGCCACTTTGGAAATCTTCTAACTTGCACATTCACTTAATTTACTGTGCTCCTTTTTCATGACATAAAAATAATTCCATATGTACCTGAACATATTGGTGGGGCTGTCCATTTGCCCAAGCGGCATGTGATTGTTTTGGATCCTGTCATTCCATGAAAACGTTGGCATTTGTACTCCACTGAAGAACCTGCTGCATATACTGGCAATTGTTCAGAAATGATGTCTCCATTTTGAATAGAAGGTGCAGGACCACATCTTCCTAATTCATCTGAAATAAACACAGAGCATTGAAATAGAGAGTAATTGTACTGTATTATATATATTAGATACTTAAAGTGAAAATGCTGATAGCACTCTTCCCTTGCCTAATTTTACCTGTAAAGTCTGAACCTTCAAGAAAGTAGATGCTCAATCCTGCTGTATTAATTCTGCCTTCTGATCCCACTTATCCATTTTCTTACCAACTCTACACCAACGATAAATGAATTGAGAAGCATCTCTGCTAAGTTTATACACCCTGACCTGGGAACTCTGTATTTGCAAGGAAGCTAATTTACCTGTAACTACATCTAGTTTGACTTCTTCACTAAAGGCTAATTTTTCCCAATGTGTGCTGATCTTTTCCGAGTTTATCAAATAATACATTAAAGCAATAAATGCTTCTATCTACCCTAATCTATTAAACTGTTGTGTTCAACAACTAAGCCAGTGAAGTCCTCCTAAATAAATACAAGGTAATTCATTTCATAAGTGTTATCTGTACATTGTGCACTTTTTATAGTGATAGTTTTCTGTACTTATCCAATAAAAGCTGATGAAGCACTGGTCTTCTGTTCCCAGATTACTCATTTTCCTCCCATCTCTGAATATCCCCAAAATAGTCATGTTATTAAGAATGAATACCTTTATTGCAGTGTGGATATGCAATGTTGCCTGAATTACACTGCACAGTAAAGTTGGAAATAGATAACAATGCCTGGGGTATGTGTCCTGATTTGCAATTAAACACAACAAAATCATGGTATTGTACGTATTGTGTTCCATTGTATGCCTCAGTCAGCTCTATGCCATGATTTTGCATTTCTTCCTGAGAGATAATACATGGGTCTAGAATGAAAAAAAAAACGGGAATATAATTATGTACATATTTTTATTGTGGTAAGATAGCATGTTAAATTACTATGTTTTCCTTCTGTCAAGGAATCAAAATGTCAGAAGTTAGGACTGGCTCAAAGAAAAATTTTAAATACGGGGAAGACAATGCATGGTCAAACAGTCCAATCAAATACAATGGTCATAATCTAAAACAGTCATCTCCAACCTTTTTGCGCCCAAGAGTACTTTTTGAATTTAAGGGCAACCCAGGATCTACCCTGCCCCTTCCCACAGTTGCCACCTTTTCCTCAAAGGACTGTCCAGCTCACTCCATCCACCCTCTTCCATTGCTTGCTCTCCCCCTCCCACCCTCACTTTCACTGGGCTGGGGTTGGGGTTCATGAGTGGTTTGGAGTTCAAGCTCTGGGTGCAAGAGGGGAAGAGGGGATTCTGGGCTGGGCAGAGTGTTGGGGAGTAGAAGGGGGTGGACGTTGCTGGTTCTGAGAGGGGAATAAGGGCTGGGATAGGGGTGTGGGCAGGGATGTAGGGTGTTGGCACTGAGATGAGAGTCTGGTCTGGGGTAGAAGATATGGGGTGCAGGGGGCTGGATGTTGGGGTACTTCCTGCCTGGCCTAGCCCCATGCTGCTCCTGGAATGTGCCCACTTGACTCCTGGGAGTCAGGGTAGGAAGCGTTCCCCATCTCTGCTAGCACCACCCCCTCAACTCCCAGTTCCCCATTCCCAGTCAATGGGCATCACCAACAGAAACAAAAAAAATCGAAAAATGCAGCAGGTCTCACACACTCAGGGAGTGCTCTCAGTCCAGACTAGTGAGGCTGGTCTCACTCTGCCCCACTTAGTGGAAGTGGGATACAGGGTAAAATATTTTATCTGAATTAATCATGATATTAATATAGGCCATATAAACACTGAATCCCTATTGATAATGTCTTGGCCTCAATCATATCCAAAGTCAATCAGTTGTCCTATCTAACTTATGTGTATTTACTTTTATTAGTTTGAATTTTATACTTTGAAATTACACTGGATGTTCATTGAATGTTCATGAAATGCTGAATTTCAAGGAAATGCATGCTCCAAAAACAAATTCAACAGATTTTGGACTCTCGTGGGAAATATTTAGATTTCTAACAGTAAAATCTCTACATTATGGAGTTCAAAATACTATTACAAAACAATTTGACAACAAAATTTATATTTGAATTGTGAAGCATCTTTACCTACTATCAGGTATATTTACTGTTAGAAACATTAAAAAAAGAGGCTTTGTTTTTGAAAACATCATCTTACCCTCACAAACTGGTATTTCAATCCAGTTTCCATTGTCACAGAAAGATTTGTTTTGCCCTTTCAATGAATAAAACTTTTGACATGTGTACTCCACAAGAGAGCCTGAGGCATACTCTTTTTGGGCAAAAGTAGTCATATCTCCATTAGCAACAACAGGGGGACGTCCACATTTCTTTCCTGTCTCTAGGCAAAAACAAAACAAAACAAAGCAAAAATAACACAATGTACAAACATTGCTTGCTTACCTTTAAGGCAACTTTGAATGAGATTTTCTTCATTATCTTCTCTTCATCTCATGTGATCTATAGACAATGTCTGCAAATTACTATACTTACCAGAGATACACAGTGGAAAATCCATGTGCCCATCAAAACACTTCCTGTTTGAGGGCACCATGAGGACATATCCTTCACTGCAAGAAAATTCCACAACTTGATCAGTTTGAATCATTAATGTACGTCTACGGCCACTAGGCAGAAGCAGTTTTTTCTCCTCGAGCTGCTGTTTTGTGATAGTGCATGGTGCTAAATGAAAACAGGAAAAATTAAAGCAACATATTACTCATCACTAATATTTAAATTAATTAGTCCCAAAAGTCAAAATCAGATTACATAGAATTAAAGCTTTTTTATTTTTAACCTTTCACCATAATAAGAATCTCATTTATGCTGTGGCCCCAGAAAGCAATTATGTCACATATCAAAATAATTTATGAACTAAATCTCATCATTAATTTCAAGAGTCTGCATTAGATATGGGACCTAATTCTGCTTCCATTGGGTTCCGAGTTGAATTACATTTCAATTGCACTTTACATTTGTCAAGCAATGGTAAAAGGGAGATGGTGACATGCTGTCTGCAAAGTAGCTGCTGCCCGTCAGACAGTTGGAACTGGGGTTACTGGAGAAATGACCTATTAAGAGATCATCCCTAAGAACCTCAATATATACTGAGTTCAGGTCTGTTTCATTTTGATCAGAAAATCATTTCTGTTGACTCATTTTTATCAGTTCCTTGATAAACTTTTCTTTTATAACTAAGAATATTACTTGTAGAGACTCAGTCAAATATACACAACACAAGGGTAAAGATTTACGTGTCTTGGAAGGTGTATGTGGAGAGGCAAGCAGTGGTTTAAAGGTAACACAGTTTGCCCTGCTACATTAAGTTATTAGGCTTCTTAACTATTTAAATTGCCAAAGGTTTCAAATGACTATTTATAAATTGTTCTAAGAACTCGAGGCGGGAACGTCTGGACATAGATTACTGGGAGCGAGGGAAGTCAAGCCCCAAGAGGAGAGTTGTGTGAAGGAATTTGAAGGAAGGAAGCTGCTCCAGGAATAAAGAATGAAGGTGACTCCACAGTCATTAGAATGTCACTGTATACATGGAGGGATAACACAGTGAACCCACTGGTAAGACAATGCTATAAAATCCAGTGACAGAAATGTAATACACTATTTGTTTTCTTCCTTGACAGATACCTGTGTCAGAATGCACCCTGACACCATGGTGATGGCACACCAACCACATTCCTGCAATACTGAAGTAACAAAGAATTCCTCTGGCCTCTGGTGTCTGAGTGACAGCTACATAAATTCACCTCAGATTTGGGAAATACAATAAATCCAAATTTCCTTTTACCCAAACATTTTGGAGGTGGCGTCCAGTTTCTCCCGTCACACTTTATCCGTTGTGATCCTGCCAGTGTGTATCCAGGGTTGCAGCCATACTGCACTGTGTCACTCTCCACATATTGCAGCTTCTCATCACTAATAATGTTGCCAAAATCAACATCAGGTGGCTGTTCACACACTGGCACTAAACAAACCAAACACACAGTGTTATTAATTAGAGGTGCAGATTGGGAATCTAAGCAGCTGAGTGTCTCAGTCTGTTTTGTCAGCTTGCACAGCAGTGCTCAGGTAGATTTTAGATTGCATATATGTCATAGAATCATAGAATACTAGTACTAGAAGGGACCTCGAGAGGTCATCGAGTCCAGTCCCCTGCCCTCATGGCAGGACCCAGTACTGTCTAGATCATCCCTGATATACATATATCTAACCTACTCTTAAATATCTCCAGAGATGGTCAATGTCTCCAGAAGATTAATTTCAGCTAAAATATAATACCATTATCTCTTCCCCTTTATCTATTTATATATATAAACCATCACAGAAAGAAAAAAAATTAATTTAGCACATCTTTTCCTGCTTAAAAATCTATTCCATATTGGTGAGATGATAAACAGTAAACACCTGTGTAATCTTGTCACATCCACACTGGTCGATGCATGCAAATCTAAAATATGTCATGGGGCCCTGGGAGAAGGGAGGAAGTCCTATAAAGAAAAGTAGCAAAAGCTACTGTTGAAAATCAGATATTCTGGTTAGGCATGAAGGGGTCTGAAAATTAATGTCTCCTACCATACAAACAATTAGTTGAGACAGTGAAAATGTAAATAACTGATCACAGCACAGAGTGTGGGCACCTCATGCCATGTCCAGTTACCCAGATTTTCATGCGTGAAGAACTGTGAATCTTTCAGAAGGTAAGTTGTTAAACTTCTGAGTTGCTTAGTTACTGTTGCATAAAAAAGCCTCCCCCTGAGCTTACTTGATTTATGTACATGGATTTTCTAAAGCTACACCAAACTGTAAGGTCTAAGGTTTTAAACTGCAACTCACTGTAATGTTTGTCAAATTTTTGTAATCTGTGTAACTCCCAGAAACTTACTGTAAACTGCAACTACATAATCTTTTTAACTCTCAGCCACCTTGCTTGTAACTTCCTCTAAGCTGCATTCTCCCCTGAGTGAATGGAGAAAGAGTATGAGAGTGTGTTTGAAGAAGGCTTGGAACAATGGAGCACATTTCAATGAGTCATCACAGTCTGGGCATGCTCCCTGGTGGATAAAGGGAAGTCTGGGCATGCTCCCTGATGACAAGGTGAATGAGTGACAGGGGCCATTCAGACACAATATAAGGAGAGGGAAAACATGTGAAACTCTTTTTTTCTTCCCCTTGCTCCTGAGAAGCTCCTCTCCAGTGTCTCTCCTCCTGACAAGCTTCCCCAGCCATGATGAACAGACAGACCCTCCAGGATCTACATGCCTTGGCTCCTTCTGCAACCCATATGCCTGTGTAATAGTGTGAGTGCCTGAGGGCAGGAATGAATGGGTGTCAATGAGTGAATGAATTGTGGGGTGTGTGCTTGCTTGTGTGTGTGTGTGTGTAAGAGAGAGATAGCTCTAGCTTCTTTAGTTTAAACCTTTGGTGGCTGTTCTCCCCTCTTTAGTTTTACCTGGTGGAAATAAACCCATAGCAGTGTAACCCTGGATGGTATCCAGTGAGAATATTTTTAGGGTAACGATTGCCATGGATTATTTGAGCAAAAACAGTCTGTCTGATATTAAAAGTTACAGTTCAAATGGCCCCCTCTGTGTACCAAAAATATTAACTGTTTGCAACCCTCCCAGTCTCCCAGAAAGTCATCCCCTCTGGGCTAGTGCACTGTATGGGTATGTCTACACTACCCCACTAGTTCGAACTAGGAGAGTAATGTAGTCATCCACAGTTGCAAATGAAGCCCGGGATTTGAATTTCCCGGGCTTCATTTGCATGAAGCCGGCCGGCGCCATTTTTAAATGCCGGCTAGTTCGAACCCCATGCCGCGCGACTACACGTGGCACGGAGTAGCTAGTTCGGATTAGGCTTCTAATCCGAACTAGCTGTACTCCTCGTGGAACGAGGAAGCCTAATCCGAACTAGCTACTCCGTGCCGCATGTAGCCGCGTGGCACGGGGTTCGAACTAGCCAGCATTTAAAAAGGCTTCTAATCCGAACTAGCTGTACTCCTCGTGGAACGAGGAAGCCTAATCCAAACTAGCTACTCCATGCCGCGTGTAGCCGCACGGCACGGGGTTCGAACTAGCCGGCATTTAAAAATGGAGCCGGCTGGCTTCATGCAAATGAAGCCCAGGAAATTCAAATCCCGGGCTTCATTTGCAACTGCGGATGACTACATTACCCCCGCTAGTTTGAACTAGCGAGGTAGTGTAGACATACCCTATGATGTAATGGGAAAGGACTCGGAAAGTCTAGTGTCAAAGATTAAAATATACCCTTCCCTGTAGAGCTCAATGCACCATTTATTGGTATTTTCAAAGTATCTATCCCCATAGCATCTTTATATCAAGCCTATATACCATAATTTCTACAATCAGCATGACTTTACACTTGGAGTGGGATGAAAAGAAAACAATTGCTAAACAAACATGAATTCTGTTGAATTCATAGTTAATTTAGTGTGACAAAAATAACTCTGGAGAAACACAGAAAACAGATATTTGGTTGCCTTAGTAAACTTCATCAGCGGCCAAGATTACTGTGAGGACATAAAAAGGGGAATTAGGAACATACTGTTACACTGGGAATCCCTCTTAACTATTTTGTGGTATTCACATAGCCTTGTTTTATTAGGCAGTAGATACAGTGAATAGTCTCTAGAACAACACAGAAGTAAGGCTTCATAACTAACCCTCCATCTCTCAATATCCTCATTCATTCTCCTCTCTTTGCCACTAACACTTCTATTAACTATATTCCATTAATCACTGTTTTACCATGGTACATTAGGACCGAGGGTCCTTTCATTTTTTTTGCATCTTACCTTCTCCTATAGCATAGAATGCCCACAGTATCTGAGCGATGACACATCTCAGCAAAGTCATGTTTGTGCTGGATAAAATACACCCAGCACTGGTAATGCCTGTCAGAGTTCTGCTGTTTTTTTAATCCTGTCCTCCAAAAATGAAGACCTGCCCTTCCTTTCTACTCCCTCTGGTTGCACTCTCCACCTCTTCTCTTGCAACATCAAATTCCAGAGATAACAGATGTAAAGTCCATCGTGAATACAGTACAAGTTGCATGTTTGTTCCCCAGTGCTCTCCTTAAACAGAGGTTTCCCCTCACACCATTTCCCACCTCTGTAACCCACCCCTTGTTTTGCTCATGCCACAAGTTTAGGTTAGCCATTTGCTGGATACCCACTCTCTGAAGAAGGCAAGATCACCAGTGAGCCCTAGTGCTCTTCCCTCCTCAAAGGCAGCACCAAGAGGAGGCAGCTGGGCAGGAAGGAACCATGAATAGAACACTGAAGTTGTATCTGTGCTAGAAATGGAATGCAGGTTGATCTACTGAGCAAACCAGGAGCCTGGAGCAACATTTGGGCCATGTTTCCAGTACACCTTTTTTTTTTTTTTTTTTTTTTTTTGAGTCACTTACTTCATATTAACTGGCAGAAATCTCTACTGAAGCCCAGGGCTGAGATCACATTTGCTTGTGGTATTGTGCAAGGCTTGCTATTTATCAGTCATTGATCTCACAGGACACACAGGACTTTGATTATAGAGTGAGGAAGAGCTTATTCCGGTAAATCACATTTTGGAGGAACTTTCCAGCAATGGTTAAAGTCTATAAATACTCATCACATTTACTTACTTTAAGTTATCAAACTCTAGTTGATTCTTTTGTCCCTGTGGAGAGTATATTTGATTTGGGGATAGGAAGGAGGGCAGTATATTTGCAAACATTTAAAGTTCATTTTCCTAGGCTAGAATGAAGGAAAGACATATATGATCCCCTAGAATCCCCCCTAGTAATGTAAAGTTATTCCCTATATTACACTTTCTAGTATTCTCTCCAGTCTAGTTGCAGAAAGAAAGAAAGAAAGAAAGAAAGAAAGAAAGAAAGAAAGAAAGAAAGAAAGAAAGAAAGAAAGAAAGAAAGAAAGAAAGAAAGAAAGAAAGAAAAAACAATACATAGCTCTGTAGCTCTGTGTAGGAATTCATGACATACCAATAATACTTCAAAAAATCACAGTTCCTCCATGCTCAGTAGAGACTTGTTAAGAACATAACAACAGCCATACTGGATCAGACCAAAGGTCCATATAGCCCAGCACCCTGTTTGCCGACAGTGGCCAATACCGGATGCCTCAGAGAGAGGGAACACAGCAGGTCCTGTTACCCATTTCCAGATGAACAGAGGCTAGGGACAGCATTCCTACCCATCCTTGCTAATGGCCATTCATGGACCTAACCTCCATGAATCTTTCCAGGTCTTTTTTGAACCCTGTTAAATTCCTAGCCTTCACCACAACCTCTGGCAAGGAATTCCACAGGTTGACTGTGCACTCAGTGAAGAAAAACTTCCTTTTGTTTGTTTTAAACTTGTTGCCTATTAATATCATTTGGTGACCCCTAATTCTTATATCATGGGAATAAGTAAATTACTTTTCCTTATTCATGTCTTCCACCCCTTCTTCCACTCCAGTAATGATTTTACAGACCTTTATCATATCCCCCTTAGTCTCCTCTTTTCTAAGCTGAAAAGTCCAAGTGTTTTTAATATCTCTTCATATGGGACCCATTCCAAACCCCTTATCATTTTTGCTGCCATTTTCTGAACCTCTTCCAATGCCAATATATCTTTTTTAGATGAGGCGACCATATCTATATGTACTGTTCAAGGGTTTTATATAGAGGCATTTATATATTTTCTGTCTTATTCTCAATACTTTTTTAATGAAACATTTTATTTGTTTTTTCACTGTCGCTGCACATTGAGTGGATGTTTTCAGAGAACTATCCACAATGACTCCAAAAACTCTCTCAATTAATTGTAGGCAAATTAGTCCTCATTATATTATACATATAGTTGGGATTATTTTTTCCAATGTGCATTACTTTACATTTATCAACATTAAATTTCATTTGCCATTTAAGATCAACATACTATACTGACTACAGTGAAAGACTCTGCCTCACACTAGCCAAGAAATTAAGGAACCACCTGATAAGTATTTTATACAAGAAACAGAAAAACATCAAGAATGACATTTCTAACTTAGAGAGTCTCATCTCAAGACAAACATCCACACCAACTAACACCTTGCAAGACTTTTGTTCCACCAGACAAGAAATCTACTATACACACTTCTATTCCCTACAACAAAGAAAGGACAATAAACTTTCTAAACTGCTCCACACCACAGGCTATAACAGCAACTACCTCAACCCACCGAATAATATTGTTAACCTCTCCACCTACAGACTCAATCCAGCAGAAAAGTCTGTCTTCTCCCGGGGTCTCTTTTTCTGCCCTTCGTCCTCCACAAACTGTATACAATTTTGTGGTGACCTTGAGGCTTTTTTTCGCCGCCTGTGCCTCCGAGAATATTTCCAAACCTCCAATGAACATCAATCTGACCTACCATATCCCCCCCTATCAACATCAAAGGAAAAATAATTCTATATGGACTCCCCCTGATGGTCGGAATTCCAATCTGGATTTCTATATACAAAGCTTCCAAAACAACGCACAGACTGACATTATTCGCAAACGACAACAAGCGACACACAATCTCAGCCGCGCTGAACACCATGCCATCAAGAGTCTCAAAAACAACCTGGACATTATAATCAAACCAGCTGACAAAGGGGGTGCTATGGTCATTATGAATAAGGCCGACTATAACCAGGAGGCAACCAGACAACTCTCCAACACCACATTTTACAAACCTCTCTCCTTTGATCCCATCTCGGAATACCAAAAGAAACTACACTGTCTCCTTAAAAGCCTCCTTACAGCTACTTGGGAACAAATCCACACAGAAACACCTTCGGACCCCCGACCAAGATTGTTCTATCTGCTTCCCAAAATCCATAAACCTGGACACCCCCGACGTCCCATCATCTCTGGTATCGGCACACTCATTACTGGTTTATCCAGCTATGTAGACTCTCTTCTCAAACCCTACGCAACCAACACCCCCAGCTATCTCCGAGACACTACTGACTTCCTAAGGAAACTACAAAACATTGATAACCTCCCCA